GAGAAAACAGGGGATCCTGCAGACCGACCAAGGGATCCTATAGAAAGCCTTATAGTATATACATGATAAACAAACAACAGGGGAACCTATAGAAGGTCCTATCTTATATGCATAATTTTCAAACAACAGGGGATCTTGTAGACCGTCCATGGGATCCTGTAGAACGTCCTATAGTATAAACATCAAAAACAATCAACAGGGGGTTTTATAGAACGTCCTATAGTAGATATATAATGTTAAGACAACAGGGGATCCTGTAGACCGTCCAGGGGATCCTGTAGAACGCCCTATAGTATAAACATCAAAACCAATCAACAGGGGGTTTTATAGAACGTCCTATAGTAGATATATAATGTTAAGACAACAGGGGATCCTGTAGACCGCCAAGGGGATCCTGTAGAACGCCCTATAGTATATACACGAAAAACAAACAACAGGGGATCCTATAGAACGTCTTATAGTAAATATATAATGTTGAGAAAACAGGGGATCCTGCACCCCGCCCAAGGGATCCTTAAAGCCCTATAGTATATACACGCTGAACAAACAACAGTGGAACCTATAGAAGGTCATATCTCAGATGCATAATTTTTAAACAACAGGGGATCCTGTAGAACGCCTTGTAGTATATACATGAAAAACAAACAACAGTCGATCCTATAACACGTCCTACAGTAGATATGTAATGATCAGACAACAGGGGATCCTGTAGAATGCTCTATAGTATATACATGAAAAACAAACAACAGGGGATCCTATAGAACGTCTTATAGTAGATATATAATGTTAAGAAAACAGGGGATCCTGTCGACCGCCCAAGGGATCCTGAAAACCCTATAGTATATACATGATAAACAAACAACAGGAGAACCTATTGAAGGTCCGATCTCAGATGCATAATTTTTAAACAACAGGGGATCCTGTAGACCGTCCAGGGGATCCTGTAGAATGCACTATAGTATATAAATGAAAAACAAACAACAGAAGATCCTATAGAACGTCCTATAGTAGATATATAATGTTCAGACAACAGGGGATCCTGTAGACCGCCCAGGGGATCCTGTAGAACGCCCTATAGTATATACATGAAAAACAAAAAACAGGGGATCCTATACAACGTCCTATAGTAGATATATAATGTTGAGAAAACAGGGGATCCTGCAGACTGACCAAGGGATCCTATAGAAAGCCTTATAGTATATACATGATAAACAAACAACAGGGGAACCTATAGAAGGTCCTTTCTTAGATGCATAATTTTCAAACAACAGGGGATTTTGTAGACCGTCCAGATGATCCTGTAGAACGCCCCATAGTATAAACATCAAAGAAAAAATCAACAGGGGGTCCTATAGAACGCCTTATATACATGATAATCAAACAACAGGGGAACCTATAGAAGGTCCTATCTTTGATGCATAATTTTCAAACAATCATCAGGGGATCCTATAGTAGATATATAATGTTCAAACAACAGGGTATCCTGTAGGCCGCCCAGGGGATCCTGTAGAAAACCCTATAGTATATACATGATAAACAAACAACAGGGGAACCTATAGAATTTCCTATCTCTGATGCATAATTTTTTAACAAAAGGGGACCCTGTAGACCGCCCAGGGGATCCTGTAGAACGCCCTATAGTATATACATGAAAAACAAACAACAGGGGATCCTATAGAACATCCTATATATATAGTAGATATATAATGTTGAAAAAACAGGGGATCCTATACAACGTCCTATAGTAGGTATATAATGTTGAGAAAACAGGGGATCAAGCAGACCGACCAAGGGATCCTATAGAAAGCCTTATAGTATATACATGATAAACAAACAACAGGGGAACCTATAGAAGGTCCTATCTTATATGCATAATTTTCAAACAACAGGGGATCTTGTAGACCGTCCAGGGGATCCTGTAGAACGCCCTATAGTATAAACATCAAAACCAATCAACAGGGGGTTTTATAGAACGTCCTATAGTAGATATATAATGTTAAGACAACAGGGGATCCTGTAGACCGCCAAGGGGATCCTGTAGAACGCCCTATAGTATATACACGAAAAACAAACAACAGGGGATCCTATAGAACGTCTTATAGTAAATATATAATGTTGAGAAAACAGGGGATCCTGCACCCCGCCCAAGGGATCCTTAAAGCCCTATAGTATATACACGATGAACAAACAACAGTGGAACCTATAGAAGGTCATATCTCAGATGCATAATTTTTAAACAACAGGGGATCCTGTAGAACGCCTTGTAGTATATACATGACAAACAAACAACAGTCGATCCTATAACACGTCCTACAGTAGATATGTAATGTTCAGACAACCCAGGGGATCATGTAGAATGCTCTATAGTATATACATGAAAAACAAACAACAGGGGATCCTAAAGAACGTCCTATAGTAGATATATATTGTTCAGACAACAGGGTATCCTGTAGGCCGCCCAGGGGATCCTGTAGAAAAACCTATAGTATATACATGATAAACAAACAACAGGGGAACCTATAGAATTTCCTATCTCTGATGCATAATTTTTTAACAAAAGGGGATCCTGTAGACCGCCCAGGGGATCCTGTAGAACGCCCTATAGTATATACATGAAAAACAAAAAACAGGGGATCCTATACAACGTCCTATAGTAGATATATAATGTTGAGAAAACAGGGGATCCTGCAGACTGACCAAGGGATCCTATAGAAAGCCTTATAGTATATACATGATAAACAAACAACAGGGGAACCTATAGAAGGTCCTTTCTTAGATGCATAATTTTCAAACAACAGGGGATTTTGTAGACCGTCCAGATGATCCTGTAGAACGCCCCATAGTATAAACATCAAAGAAAAAATCAACAGGGGGTCCTATAGAACGCCTTATATACATGATAATCAAACAACAGGGGAACCTATAGAAGGTCCTATCTTTGATGCATAATTTTCAAACAATCATCAGGGGATCCTATAGTAGATATATAATGTTCAAACAACAGGGTATCCTGTAGGCCGCCCAGGGGATCCTGTAGAAAACCCTATAGTATATACATGATAAACAAACAACAGGGGAACCTATAGAATTTCCTATCTCTGATGCATAATTTTTTAACAAAAGGGGACCCTGTAGAACGCCCTATAGTATATACATGAAAAACAAACAACAGGGGATCCTATAGAACATCCTATATATATAGTAGATATATAATGTTGAAAAAACAGGGGATCCTACAGACCGCCCAAGGGATCCTATAGAACGCCTTATATACATGATAAACAAACAACAGGGGAACCTATAGAAGGTCCTATCTTAGATGCATAATTTTCAAACAACATGGGATCCTGTAGAACGACCCTATAGTATAAAAATGAAAAACAATCAACAGGGGATCTTATAGAACGTCCTATAGTAGATATATAATGTTTAGACAACAGGGGATCTTGTAGACCGCACAGGGGATCCTGTAGTAAGCCCTATAGTATATACATGACAAACAAACAACAAGGGATCCTATAGAACGTTCTATAGCAGATATATAATGTTCAGACAACAGGGGATCATGTAGACCGCCCAAGGGATCCTGTAGAACGCCCTAATAGTAGCGTCATTATAAACAATTAACAAGGGTTCCTATAGAACGCCCTATAGTAGAATGTTCAGACAACAGGGGGTCCTGTAGACGGCCCAGGGGATCCTTTGAACGTCCTTTAGTAGATGTTTTATATCGAGACAGAATTATTTTTTATTCAAATGCAAACCTAGCAATTTTTTTTTTCAATCAATCCAAAGCCAGAATTTATTATTCAACATCATACATGCTTATTGAAGATGAATTCAGAATTTTTCTTTGAGCAACTGTATACTAGGCCCGATTTTTTTAATTGTCAAAATGAAGGCCAGATTAATTCGTTTCTTTAAACGCAGACCAGACCCCCACCACCCCCCCACACTCCCGTAAAGAAAATTTCTCGTGCCTTAGTACGTGTAAGCTACATTTTTTTCAATTTGCCTACATCAAAGTACTCTTTTAAGCGGATAATAAAAATATTATTAACTCCATAGTATATGCAAAGCCATGGGACCTCGTGCATGGGACATTTGCAGGTCATTACAACATAATTAAGGCATCACTACTGTTTGTCATATATATATGAAATATCATGTATTTTAAAAAGGAATCTGTATTTGCTTAAAGAGGGCACAATGATATATGCTACTGTAATGCAGTACATTTTCCTATTTTTCATGTGATAAAAAAAATAAATAAAGCAAATTCACCTGAGTGTTACATGAAAGTTAATGATTTTGCATCGTTTTTTTTTTAGATAGTTTTACATGTTGAGAATATTCTATTTTTAGCATTAGTATTTTCAGAATCGTTTATAAATAGCCTATAAATAGAATATGCATAATTCATGAATCGTGACGTAGGGCGGTCTACGGGATCCCTTCTTCCGCTTACCATTAAATGTTGGATACTTTAAAACAAGCAGTTTTATACGGAGGTTTTGGTCTCGTATTTTCTGTTTTATTCAAATTAAACATGACATACATGTATATTAATATGTATGCCCGTTTTATTCGATCAATTTCATAATAAGTTAAAACGTAATTCAATTGTATATTTTTGATAATTATTGTACCTGTACATTCCAATACGGATTTATAAACTTATTTATGTATTATGTCGTTCTATTGATCATGCATTAATTTTAGAAAACAAGTTTGACATTAACGAGGCCTATTGTCATGTGTTTTCTTGATATTCGTAATATGACCGTTTAAATATTTGGATTTAAATGAAATATACATGTAGTTAGCAGACCACAACATGTCCAAAGTCTTTACATTACATTTATATACAGATCTTACCAATTAGAACAAAATATGACATTTACGGAACCTGATCAAGGATGGGCGTGGATAATATTGATTGCATCTTTTACTGAGCATTGTATCGTCGGATTTAGTATGTATGCTATTGGACTCTTCCACATAGCTTTTCTGAACAAATTCAATGCTAATGTGTATCTGACATCATGGATTGGAGCATTGTTTCTTAGTTTACAAGGACTATCAGGTATATAGATTCCCAATTTTTTAAAATAATATATAATGTATATATGTGTGCGTGTTCGTATTTATATCCCTTTTATTTTACATATGAACATAATTATGATTTTAAATATGATTTCCTGCACTTCTTTGTATAAAAGAAAGATACTTTTCGAAAGTATCGATCATATTTGTGTGGCCAAATGATGTTTGATTTGCTATGTCATGTGACCAGATGTTTTGTTATGGTAATGTGAAACCATTATCTATGTTGTCATTCTAGCCGCAGACTCGTACAGTCAAAACTTTCGTTTCGTATTAATTTTGATATTGCCATATTGATGATAAGGTTCGGCATCATTAACTCGAAACGTCGCGTTTTTTTCATTTCTCCATGACGCCGGTTCCAAAAAAAAAAGAAATCTGGGCGGCGAGTTTCCGTTGATGACGAGCATTCCTGATATGATATTAAACAATTGTATTTTTTGGAAGCATATAAATATTAACAACAGTCATGACCGTTGTTTTTGGATCTATTGTTTACCATAAGAGAGGCGAAAGATACCAGAGGGACATTCAAACTCACAATTCGAACATAAACGGACAATGCCATGGTTAAAACAGAAAAAGACGAATATACAAACCACAGTACACAAAACACAACATAGAAAACTAAAGACTGAGCAACAAAAACCCCCAAAAATTCGGGATGATCTCAGGTGCTCCGAAAGGGTAAACAAATCCTGCTCCACATGTGGCACCCGGCGATCATCTCTGAAACCGAAATTCCATAACGGTCAACCAACTCGCGATGGCGTCCGTAGTTTAAGTTGTGTGTGATTTACATTGATTAGATACTATCATCGTGATATAATGATTGTTGTATTGTAAATGACATTAAATTTAATGAAATCCTGGCTCCAGTCTTTCAGCAAGACAAAATATATATTTCGAAATTGATTAGACAAAATAATTAGTGTAATTAAGATATCATTAGTACCATTCAACTGGCTAATTGGATTCCTCGAGCTCCCTTTCAATATATATCTATACTCCTCAAATATACAAGCTAGGGAAATAGTCAACTTCACAGTCAAATCCACAAGCACTTGTCTCTGAATATTATACACCTATTGACTGGGTATGAGGGTAATAGCAAGTTTGTTGTCCCTGAGATACCAACTATTGCTCGAGGTGAAGCCGAGGGCAATATTTAGTTTCAAAGGGACAACAAACTTGCTATTACCCTCATAACCAGTCATTAAGTGTTTTATTATACCGAACAAAACAACTTTCGAAAAAGACTACATACACCACTTGAAAAAAAAATGGTCACATAGACACGTACAAGATGAACTATCAGGTTTTTTTCCCTGTGTGGTATTTGTCAATAATCTATATACTGTAATCAAGACCAGGAATCCTTGTGTAAAAATTGCCGTGCATATGATAAACATTAGCTAAAATATTTTACCGTACACCAAAGCAATCCCAGATTATGAAGACGACGACAGACCAACACCATACATTACATGTTTTAGTTCTTAAAATATGTCGCGTAGATTTTCTTATTCATGCATTTGCTTCTGGTAAGTAATATATTAGTTTGAAATTACGACAGATACATACAGATTATAACTTTTACGATATTTCAGAGTTTAACGTTGCCAAGCGCACAAATCCAAGCAGAATAGTCGATGACGTCATTGTTGTCCAATGAAAAATTAGTATGAAAAAGTACGGGAAATATGTTTATAAAACTATTGACCGGGGTAATAGTCTTTGAAACTATTGACTGGCAAATAGTCTGTGGAATGAAATAGCATAAATATTTCATTCTTTTTTATATAGAAAAAACATACTGAGGTATAATAAATTTTATTATCATCTACCTTTATGTAACACTATAAAAGTATAAAGATAAAAACAAAATGCACAAATTCAGAGACAAGTACCTGGTCGAATCGGGAAGTTTTTATTTTCTTAATAGTACTGGTTGAAGCCTGACGTATTCAAGTTTTATGTAATGTAATACCCGTTTTGTTGGTTTCGGTAAAGAGAAGACCTAGGCGTCTTTATTCAACACCCTAACCTGAATAAAACACGATCCTTCAAATCTGCTTATCGCTCGTATGAGGGGCGTATTGTATTTGCCTTAATTTCTAAAAATTAAAAATAATTTCAGATTTCTAATAAAAAAACTTTGATTTCATATTCAAGATTATCGGCAATAAAAAATGAAACATGTTCTTGAAATGTATCAGATGTACGTTATAGATGAAATTATACAGTCACAGTAGACTAGAAGAATTCTGACCAATATTCTGCAAGATTGTTTTTTATATCTTATAGGAAACAAAACGTTTTAGTGGTACTGTAAGTGCTGATGTAAACGGTTCACAATAAGTCAAAAGTATTAAAACCGTAACAGTTTTAACTTTCATTTGCATATTAAATGTTGGGAGTTTTATATCTAGTAGTTTTATACGGATGTTAATGCTTCGTCTTTCCTGTTTTACTTTATTAAAACATAACATTCTAAAATCTCTATGTACGTTTTATTCTATCAATTATAAAATAAATCAAATGTATTAATATCTATATTTAATAATTATCGAACCTGTACATTTTAATACGGATTTTAAACCTAATATTTACTTTCTGTTGTACTAATAGGATCGTTCTATCGATGCATGGACAAAAGTGTCGTATCGCCATTCAACATAATTTAATTGCAATTTAACTTTAACTAGAATACATGAAAATAATGTCACTGACCAAACCTGACAAAGGGTGGGCTTGGATTATCCTTGTGGCTTCATTCGTAGAGCATTGTATAGTGGGGTTCTCTCTATATGCTATTGGACTCTTTCATATCATATTTTTAGAAAAATTCCGAGAGGATATTACTTTAACGTCATGGATAAGTGCTGTTTTTCTGTGCCTCCTTAGTTTGACAGGTAATTTGATCTCTTGGAGACCACTTACATACCAATAGTCGAAAAGTTATATACGTAATAGGTTTTTCGATATTTTGTTTAACATGTAGATATAAGAAGATGTGGTATGAGTGCCAATGAGACAACTCTCCATCCAAGTCAAAATTTATAAAAGTAAACCATTATAGGTCAAAGTACGGTCTTCAACACGGAGCCTATATAACTATATGTATAAACATTGTTGTCTCGCCTGCGATTGAAGACACATAATGAGAGACAAAATGATGCTAACTCTGCGGCATTACGTATTTGTTTAAAGCTTTATTTTTCAGAAGGTTGAAGATCCGTCTGTCAAATGAAATGTTTGCTTGACCTCATTTAAAATTTTAATGATTAATCGACTGCTAAAAACTGTATATTTTTGTCTCGTGAATTTCGCTCACATTTTGAGTATTAAGATAACCATATTTGTTACATTGGACCCTGCAATATCTACATGATCGGGTAAGATCGACCTAGACCTCATTTTATGGATGAGTGAACAAGGTCAAAATTTCGTGGTAAGTTCGTATCTTAGATACTATAATCGATAGGTGAACTATACTTGGTGTATTGAATGATTGTCAGATGTGCATGTCCTTCTGGCAGGTTTCTTCTGACATTGACCTTATTTTCATGGTTTATTGGTTAATGTTGATGTTCATGATTTGGTCTTTTTATCAGATACTTTCAGCAATTGTTCAACTATATATGGGGTCTACAATGGTTGAAAGCCTTAGGTAAAAAATTCTGATTGGAAAGTTTCAACTGCTTTTGACTTCATTTTCATAGTTCGTGGGTCAAAACGAGTTTTTGTGGTTTAAATTGGTTTTTCAGACACCTAAGGCAATACTAATTCAATTTTATTTGGTGCATATAATGATTGTAATGTGTTACAACATATCTTTCTGGAAGATTTAGTTTACTTTGATCTCATATTCATGGTTTATTGGGTAAGCTTTCATTGTTGTGGCTATTTCTTAAATTCTATAAATTCTATAAGCAACATATTTCTATACTTATAAAATTTATAAACTACATTAAAACTCAATGAACCTAATTGAAACCGGAATAAATATCGTTAATATTTAATCATTTATATTTAATCTAAAATGATGATGACAAATTGGTCTTTAACGTCCAGTGGCAAATATAACATGCGTACCACCACGAGACCATGTCAATGCAATATGATTATAAACCCTGTTCTGTACTAGACCGACATGTTGAGCTTTACGTGCTAGTTCACAAGTTAACAGTTCACAAGTTAACATTTCACCAACCGGACACACCATTCTGACTCCGAGTCCACCATTATTTGCTGCCACGTGCTAAGCGTAGAAACAGCTTATACATAATTTTAAGGGCTCGAACCCACGACCTCCACCACTCGAACACGCTACCACGAGACTACCAGTATGGTTAAGTAGAGTTCGCTGTATTTGACAGATAATGGAGGAATACTCTCTCAGGAGATTTGTTTATTTTAAGGAAATTAAAAACAGTGGCACCTATGGAATAAATGAGAAGTTGTAATTCGCTGTTTTTAGTCTTAAATGTTTGATTTATCCTGCAATCAATTCAACCAGTCTAATATGCAATGTAGGTGTACAGACAAACCGAAGCGAAATGGTCGTACTGTATACATATATATATATATATAGATATATTGCCTACTGGTATCCTGCTCTTTTGTGAGCGAACAGTAACATATAAATCACTTTTAACGTCTCAGTTGACATTGGAGTCCTCATCACTTTCCGTGTTCGAGCCATGTCGATTTCATTAAAAAATACATTCAACGACTGTGAAGTAAATATTGCACGTTTAAGCGTTCGAACATTGTAGGAAAATATAAAGTTTCTTTGTGATCGTTAGTCAGTAGGAAATTCTTGGTTCAATAGATACATGTTAAAGGTAAAACCAAACAGCACGGGATATATACAATCTCTTTCCCGCCTTCGTTATTTAGGCCTTTGATTCCGTGTTTCAAAGGATATTGATTTTTTACTGGAACCATAACAACGGCCAAGGAATTGGAATCTTT